CACATGAAACTATATCTCTCCTTTAATTACCTGCCCAGGATAAAGATTTAATGTGCCTCAAAGGTTCCCTCTTTATTTAATAGGTTCAGGAACTTTACATATTCAACTTTAGTTCTCCTAAACATCTCTGAGGTAATTAAACAGAGAGAGAGAGAGAGAGAGAGTGGTTTCTCCCCAAACCACGCTAGAAGTGTTGGGGTATATACCAGTGATTTGAAAGTAAGTCTGCAATTTCCAAATTAAACACTCAGTCCAATTTGTAATGGAAATATCACTTCTGAAATCATCTTGGTTTTAATTGTAATTAAATAATTGTTAAATGGCTCATAAATGAAGCTCATAACTTATTTTTTTTTAGAATGACGCATTTAAAAATGATTCAGAGCTCATTTGATTTAATGGACTCTAAATTATGTGAAACATATGTGACATCCTTGTTACATCTGTTTTGGTGACCAAGGCTAGCTCCTCGAGATACAATGTTTAAGGACGTCATTTTGAATAATTAGATTAGGAAAGTTTAATAAAGGGGTTGGTAAACTGGTACCCTTGAGATTTTAGATTGCAACTTCTATCAAGTTTAGATAGTGTTGGAAGAAACATCCTTCTAGGTTCTGCTCCAAGTGGGGAAAACAGACACTGGAAACATGGAGGCTGCTTGGAAAGATGGTTTAATGGTGGACAGGATCACATGGCTTGAGTTCCTGAACAGAAAAAGGGCAGATACAGAAAATCCTCGGGTTTTTATGCTCTCTCTGGCTCTGCATTTCTTGGGGCCCCAAAAGAGTATCCTGATTGGTTGTCAGACTCCCAGGGGGTGGGGGCCTTGCTGGCTGATGGTCACATGTGCTTCCCAGGTCACATGTGGTGAGTTTCTGCTGCTATTGTGTAGAGGGCTATCTTTGTTGGATCTTTGCCAATTCCTACTATGGCTCTGCCTGAAGGAGGTAGATCTTTGTTATGTAGAATAGACTGGCCCAGGCCTTAATGGCCCATTGACAAAGGGTGGGGGCAGGAAGATGGGAGCTGCTTCAAAACATGCTTATCCCAGGGAAATATAATATTCTGCCTTTTTCATATTTCCTAAAATATTTCACTCTTCCAGGAGAGGGGTGGGTGCTAACTTCCTACAATAGCATGACCAGTGACAAGAGATTATGGTAGTTGTAGTCCAAATACATGTGGAAAGAAAGCTAATCTACACTATTACCTCCCTCTCAGGTAACATGTATTGGGTATGAAAATTCAGACAATGGCAATCTGAGCCATAAAGGTCTTCATAGTGATAACCAGCATCTCAACTTGGACCCAGAAGCCCATTGGAAGGTCAGCAGAGGTTATTCTACCTTCCACAGGTAGATAGTTATATTTTACATCAGATGCAGTTTTCAGATGACCTCCAAGGGCAATTTCATGTAACTAAATTCCAGTAGTCTAGCCAGGGGGCAATGACAAAAGCATGAATCACTGTTGTCAACACCTCCTGGTCCAGGAAAGGCCAAAGCTATCAAAGACTCTCTTGGCCATAGACTGTACCAGGAATGATGGAGTCCAGAAGAAGCCTCAACTGTATATGGGGAAGAGGGAAGTAGAGATAATCCTTGATTTACAATCATTCATTTACTGACCGTTCAAAGTTATAACTGCACTGAAAAAAGTGACATGATAGGTTTTCACACTTACGGTCGCTTGCAGCATCCCCATGGTCACATGGTCAAAATTCAGGTGTTTGGGAACTGGCATGTATTTATGACGGTTGCAGTATTCTGGGGTTATGTAGATCATCTTCTGTGACTTTCTGATAAATAAAGTCAATGGGGAAGCCAGATTCACTTAACAACCGTGTTACTAACTTAACAACTGCAGTGATATCGCTTAACAACTGTGGCCAGAAAGATCATAAAATGGGGGAAAACTCAATGAACAAGTGTCTTGCTTACCAACATAAATTTTGGACTCAATTGTGCTCATTAAGTCAAAGACTATCTGTACAACTTTGTCAAGAACTATGCATGAAATATCCTGGTCTTGCCATGAATTAATCTCACTGTTCCAGAAGTATAATTTTGATGAATTTGGGTGCATGGGGCCCAGCAGCTCCTTCTGTAATTTAAATGCACTCCTACACTGAATGTGTGCCAATTGGCCTATCAATTCTTTGATAGTGCAGCAGTCTGTAAGCATGGTTTATTGTAAATATTTTGTTCAATCCATCAAGCAAGTTTTACTAATCACTATCCTTCCCCCCAGGTGAGAAAAGTGTCTCTCAGTAGCAATATGCAAGAAATTCCACTACTAGCAGGACCAGAGCTTAACACTGAATTTGACTTTACTGTATAGTTCCACCACTGCAACTTTTTGTTAACATATTCAAGTCAGTTTTTGACTCCTTGCAACTGCCCTGACTAGTCCATGCAGTTTTCTTGGCAAGGTTTTTCAGAAGCGGTTGACCATCACCTTCTTCCTAGAGCTAAGAGGGAGTGATTGGTGTGAGGTAGCCCAGCTGTTATGTGCCTAAGGAGGGACTAGGACTTGGTTTCTAGCCTGGTGCCTTAACCACTAACACCAAACTAGCACTCTATTAATTGCACCTTGTAAAGATGAAATGGAAAAGTAAGAATGGTGGTACAAAGCAGAAGGCAGATGCTGCTGCTTTAGGGATAGGCTTGTTTTAAGCTAAAGGCATCTAGGCATCTATTTTTTAACCTCACCCTTCCCAAGAAGCCCTAGACACATTGCTATGCTATCCAGAGACAGAATTTATTTATTTTGTCATATTTACAGTTGCAAGAAAAAGTATGTGAACCCCTTGGGATTATGTGGAGTTTTGCATGAATTGGTCATAAAATGTGCTCTGAACTTCATCTAAGTCACAACAATAGAAAAACACAGTCTGTTTAAAATAATGCTACACAAACATTAGATGTTGCCATGGTTTAATTGAACATAACATGTAAACATTCACAGTGAAGGGAGGAAAAAGTATGTGAGCCCCTAGCCTAATGACTTCTCCAAGAGCTAATTGGAGCCAGGAGTGAGCCAACCTTGACTCCAATCAGTGTGATGATATTGGATGTGCTGCTGACAGCTGTCTTGCCCTTTAAAAACACACACCTGTTTTGGGTTTACTGGTTTCAAGAAGCACTGTCTGATGTGAACCATGCCTCGCAGAAAAGAGCTCTCAGAAGATCTATGATCAAGAATTGTTGACTTGCATGAAGCTGGAAAGGGTTACAAAAATATCTCCAAAAGCCTTGATGTTCATGTGTCCACAGTAAGACAGACTGTCTACTAATGGAGAAAGTTTAGCACTGTTGCTACTCTCCCTAGGCGTGGTCGTCCTGTAAAAATGACTGCAAGAGCACAGCGCAGAATGCTTCATGGGGTAAAGAAGAATCCTAGAGTGTCATCTAAAGACCTACAGAAATCTCTGGCACATGCTAACATTTTTGTTGACACATCTACAATAAGGAAAACATTAAACAAGAATGGAGTACATGGGAGGACACCACGGAGGAAGCCATTGCTGTCCAAAAAAAATATTGCAGCACGTTTGAAGTTTGCAAAAGAGCACCTGGATGTTCCACAGCATTACTGGCAAAATATACTGTGGACAGATGGAACCAAAATTGAATTGTTTGGGAAGAACACACAACACTATGTGTGGAAAAAAAAAAGGCACAACACACATCATCAAAACCTCATCCCTACTGTAAAACATGGCGGAGGGAGCATCATGTTTGGGGCTGCTTTGCTGCCTCAGGGCCTGGACGGATTGTTGTCATTGATTGGAAAATGAATTCCAGAGTTTATCAAGACATTTTGCAGGAAAACGTACGACCATCTGTCCACCAACTGAAGTTCCGCAGAGGATGGGTGATGCAACAGGACAATGACCCAAAGCATACAAGTAATTCAACAAAAAAATGGCTTCAACAGCACAGAATACGCCTTCTGGAGTGGCCCAGTCAGAGTCCTGCCCTCAACCCGATTGAAATGCTGTGGCATGACATTAAGAGAGTGATTCATACCAGACATCCCAAGAATATTGCTACACTGAAACAGTTTTGTGAAGAGGAGTGGTCCAAAATTACTCCAGATCGTTGTGCAGGTCTGATCTGCAACTACAGGAAACGTTTGGTTGAGGTTATTGCTGCCAAAGGAGGGTCAACCAGTTATTAAGTCCAAAGGTTCACATACTTTTTCCTCCCTGCACTGTGATTGTTTACATGTTATGTTCAATTAAACCATGGCAACATCTAATGTTTGTGCAGTATTATTTTAAGCAGACTGTGTTTTTCTATTGTTGTGATTTAGATGAAGTTCAGAGCACATTTTATGACCAATTTATGCAAAACTCCACATAATCCCAAGGGCTTCACATACTTTTATTTGCAACTGTATATGGATGTCCATTGACAGACAAAATACTCTGGGTGGTGTACAATAAAGCTAAAATTAAAAGAAAAAAATATGGGAAAGAGAAATGACAGCTGATGATGGATATGCTTCATGTCTTTCCCTCTAGTTCAAACTTCCTGACTGTATTAGTGGGCGGGCTGGAAGTAGAACCTACTTCTTCAGGATCCTTTAACGCCTTTATTGGCAGGTGGAGGCAAGGATTGGTCAAATGGGCCTGATCCTTTGCCTAAGTCTGAGAAAAGCATGTGGACAAGATGGTAGAGGGGCCATTGTCCCAAAAATGCTTTTTCAAGAGGCAACTGGACTTTCTGATTTTTCTTCGAAGGCGTTTCGCTTCTCATCCAAGAAGCTTCTTCAGCTCCAGAGGTGAAGAAGCTTCTTGGATGAGAAGCGAATCGTCTTCAAAGAAAAATCAAAGTCCAGTAGCCTCTTGAGAAAGCACTTTTGAGACAACCATGACCTGGATGACCGAGAATCTCCATAGATATAGAGGGGCCATTGCTGCCTGCACAAGCATATTATTTCTACCTTCGCAATAAGACCCATTTTCACCTCTGTGGTTTAAAATGAATATTTTGATATGAGATTGTTCCCTTTTCTAATACAGTACTGTTTTCATGATCAGGAAGGAATCCACTACAGAGTACCCATGACACATAGAGATGCACCTATATCTTACATACATGAGATGTAATGCTTATTTACATTCACACACCTTTAGGAAACCGGAGCAAACCATACCCGCGAAATGCCCGACGGAACCAATATAAATATATTTGCAGACTTTATAATCCACACCCAAAGCCCGTTTCCTCCGATCGAACCCTTCTTCCCACCAAGCTGCGCCCGAGGCGAGAGTAGCCTGACGCAATCCTCTACCTCTATTTCCCTCGAAAGCTCCTAGGCGAGTTGCATCATCTGGTTTTGAGACTGTGGAGAAGAGAAAAACCAATGAGCGGGCGCGTTTTGCTCTTGTGTGACAGGCGGCTTTGACCAATCCGGTCTCCGTAAGCCGTTCTCCAGGCGGGACTATTTGCTTCTGAAAGCGGTGATTGGACAAGAGACGGCGGGAACCGAGATACCGTGACAACTGGGCGGGGGCTTACCGGCAAGCTGGTATTTAAACGCTGGAGACCTGGGGAACGGCGCAGTTCTCTTTTCTTGCTTTGTGTTAGGGTGGTCGGTCGCCGTCTCTTGTGCCAAATCCCCGGCTAGCCGAGCTTAATCCTTCGGTTCAGTCCATTCCCGGAGATCCGAGCCACCAGCGCACCTCCTCCTGCGGAGTCATGAAGGGGGATCCGCATCCTCGGCATCTTTCCAGCGGAACGGAGCATCCGTCCAGGCTTCAGAAGGACGAAGAGGAGGAGGAGGAGGAGGAGCCCTCTGGTACAGAGGAAGGGTCGCCCAAGTCTCCGCTCTGGGTCTTCGGTTACGGTTCGCTGGTTTGGAGACCTGATTTCGAATTCACTTCCCGCAAAGTGGGCTATATCCGGGGCTACAGCCGCCGCTTCTGGCAAGGAGACACCTTCCACCGGGGTAACGAGAAAACGGTAAGGGCTCTTCTTGCCAGGTGAGACTAAATGGGTGGGAAAGGGCAGCGGCTGATCCTGAGTTTGTGTGTGTGTGTGTTTTAAAGGGATGAGTGTTTCCCCTGAGATGAGAGATCCCTTCCGTAGAGTGGAAGGGATGGTGGGATGGGCTGTGGGACTGGAAAATAAAGAGATAATCCAAGAATTGGTTGTGTTTCGGGGAGTTAGAGTTAGAAATTGTAGGTTCCACTGAGTCCACAGATGTGGAGCCTATTGATTACCCTTGGCTTGACATTGTTGTGCAGAATTTGGGGAGCCTCCCATGTTAGTTTGTAATGCTGAGGGAGTAGGGAACTTCTGGACTGCACCAATGATGCTTCGCTTGAGATGGTAGAACTTGTGCTTCTGATGTTGGTCTGCAAAAGAGTACAGTACTGCATATTAAAACTGCCTCTTTCTCTCCCTTCTCTTAGCCTGGAAGAGTGGTCACCCTTCAGGAAGATTATAACGTAAGTATTTTCTTAAACAGTTGGCATGCATATCAATAGCCTAAGCCTAATCAGAGGGAGGGAGGGAGGGAAGAAGGCTTAAAACCAAGTAATTGCAGGTAGTCCTCAACTTACGACCACAATTGAGCCAAAAATTTATGTTGCTAAGTGAGAAATTTGTTAAGTGAGTTTTGCCCCATTTTACGACTTTTTTCTCCACATTTGTTAAGCGAATCACTGCAGTTGTTAAATTACTAATATGGTGGTTAAATGAATCTGGTTTCCCCACTGACGTGTCAGAAGGTTGCAAAAGGGGATAGCATGACCCCGGGATACTGTAACTGTAATAAATGTGAGTCAGCTGTCAAGCAGCCAAATGTAAATCATGTTATCATGGGGATGCTGCAACAGTTGTTCTGGTGTAAAAAATGGTCATAAGTCACTTTTTTCAGTGCCATAATTTTGAAAGGTCACTACGCGATGAGGACTCCCTATATTTTGAGCTACCCACCTTGTTTAGCTGTAGGGGAAAGGTGGAGAGTGAATTGTATCATTGCAACTAGAGGTTATGTAATTCTGTTACTTGACCTGCAGCAATTATAATTATCCAATTATAATTTGGATGAGTGATTATTTGGTCAGTAGAGTATTGCTTATTTAGGAGACCAGCCAATGTTTGTGAATATAATCTAAATGATAAAAGAAAACAGATCTTAACAATTTTGGAGATGATAAGGTAGCACTGCTGAAAAAAAATGGGCACATGGCCAAGATACTGTGGGTCTTGCACAGTATTATTATTATTAACTTTTGCAAATTTAATAGTATTAATTGCTTTGTGGACAACTCATTTGGAAGGAATGAGTAGCTATTTTAGAACTGTGCTTTTTCATCACAAAACTGACTTTTAACCTAACTGACCTGATATTGTTTAAAAATGCAATGAAACATGGCAGATAATATTTATTTTTAGTTTGGTATTTGCTTATTTGTATAGGTTATGGAGATAAATAATTTTGTATTTAATGAAGCAGACATCTGTAAGTAACTTGTAATTTGATTTCTGATTGCAGGGATGCACGTGGGGTGTTGGCTATGAACTTCACGGGCTTCAAATTGCTGCTGTCCTTAAGTATTTGAACATGCGGGAAGCTGTGCTTGGGGGCTATGACACCAAGCTGGTGAAGTTTTACTCCCAGGAAGAAGAGGCAGATGAACCTGTTCTAGCTCTTGTTTATATTGCAACCCCCCAGAATCCCTCCTATCTGGGGCCAGCATCTGAAGAGGATATTGCAGCTCAAATCATAGTCTCCAGTGGCCGTGCTGGACACAACATTGAGTACCTTCTGCGGCTGGCAGACTTCATGCGCTACTGTTGCCCTCAAGTAGAAGATGAACATTTGTTCTCGATTGAGGAAGCCCTGATCTCTATCCTGCCCTGTATATATCCTGCTGAGGAGCCCTTGGTACAATAATGAAGTTGACAGTAGTCACCAAAATGAAATTGAATGAACGTTTTTAAACCAAGGACCACATGCATGAATACATGAGCTGATGCAACTGAAGTCAGGTTTTAAAACCTGTACATGTAGACCTTGGGAGAGAAGAGTAGTTGGAGGCACGGTAATATAACTACAATTTAAATAGCATTGGACTCCAGCCACATTTCTAGTCTCGAGTAGAGATTGGAGAGACCCATTGCTATTCTACTAGCTGCTGGCGATACAAAGCTGGTTGAAAAATACTTCCTAGTCTCATTTGTATACTCCAGAGAGATTAAGTCCTACTAAATTTAATAGGGCTTTTACTTTATAGAGTTCATGCAAGTGAGGCTGCTGCTGTTTTGCACTTTTAGCCAAATTAACAGTGTTCTTTGAATTGTTGAAGGGAAAGGGGGATGAAGATAAAATGTTTTTCTTTGCATGTTTTCATCCAAAACAGGGCCATGACTATAATGCTATGAGCTTTGCTCTACCTCACAAACTGATGCTGCACAGGTGAAGTTGTGAAGGTTTTCAAAAGTTCCTCCAGCCTTAGCCTTGGTCATGGTATCCTCGTGTTTGCTCATACGCTGGGCTTTTTTTTAGTGGAAAATGAACTTGATTTTAGATTTTGGTGGGGCCAAACCTCCTTAGGCAGTTAGTGCACTACTTTTTTTATAACTTGAAAATGTATTTATTGTAATGAAGATGTATATTTCATGGAGAGAAATGTCCAAATGTCCTGCAGAGCAGGGCAGATTGCTAGCTTGAAAGCTGGCAGGGGAACTTGGGTCTTCTGGTTTTAGATATATATATATATATATTCCTCTTAGAGGGGAGCTTCAGACCAGGGCAGCTGCTACAAGGTTACTCTTTTGAGACAGCTTTCGGTAAATAGAACTGTTGCACTACCTACACACAATATAGATGCTTTTACATTACAATAATTTTTTGTGTCAGTTTATGTAACTGCAAGGTGTATGTCTCTTGGCATATACCATGCTCAAATTTTGCCTGCATTTCAAATAATGAAGTGGGCACTTAATGTCTGGTTCTCCGAAAATCACAAGAAATTAAAGTTTCTGAGAATATTAAATGTGTTCATGAAAAGAAAGATCTGTGCTGAATATTGTAGCCTGAAAGACACGATTCAATAAAGACGATAAGAACAATTGCTTTCTGATGAAGCCTTTGTGAGAGACTTCACCCTGGAATTTGTTAACAGATCTTAGAACAAAATGGACAACTACTGTTAAAAGGAACTGTATATCTTTTCTCTATAAATAAATGAGTCTGAAATTACATTGTTTGAACAGAATTTTTTTTCCTTTGGTTTTGCATTTAAACTATTAAAATTCTTTGTCATGGGATTTCATGTAACTGTATAGAAAAATGGAATTACCGCATTTTTCGGAGTAGAAGACGCACCTTTTTCCCCCATAAAAGGGGGTGAAAATTTAGGTGTATCTTATACACCAAATGTAGCCCCGCCCACCCTCTGGCCCCCACCCTTTGGCCTCTACCTCGCAGCAGTTACCTCCTTACAGCAAACAGCAAGAAAAAACAGCTCCTTTCAGCTTCAGCACAGCCTAATTAGCACAAGTTGATTGGATCAGCCTCCCGACTCTCAGCTGTTTTCCACAGGGCTCTGCTGCTTGCTGCAGAGAGGTAAATTGCTGGAGTAGGTTTTTTTTCCCTTGTGCTAATCAAGCTATACTGAAAACGAAAATGAAAGTAAAGCAGGCTGTTTGCTGAAATGAGGCAAAATCGCTCAGAGGCAGAGAGAGATTTCTTTTTCTTCTTTTCCAAAAAAGGTAGATACATCTTATACTCTGAAAAATATGGTAGTTTAACTACAGCTGTTGCAATTACCTTCATAGTGAATAACTGTCAAATGTTTATGAAACTGTTTCCAAAGCTTTGCATCAGCAGTACCCAAGCCATAGCTTTACAATCCGTTAAGTGCAACTTCTGCAATTTCCTATAGTTTTTGTGAACAGGACGTCACTGAATCACACTAAGTGATTCTAGTTTTGAAAAGCAGCATGGCCAAGCTTGCTTCTAGCTGCATCGTCACTAATGTGTCTGTTAGGGCTGTGCAATGCTCTGGGGATTATTTGAAGGGTGCAAGCTTTAAGTAGCACCTTCTTGCAACTTGGTAAAGCAGCTGCATCTTTTCCCAAGAGTCGTGTAGCTCTTGTTGCAGTAGTCTGCACTGGAATAGCAAAAATGCATCTTGTTTATGCTGACTTCGGGCTCTCCAGATGTTTTAGACTACATCTGAACTTTCTAAATTGAAACCCGGAAGACTGAGTAGAACTAGTGACTCCCTGTACGTGCGCTATGGCCTTTGGATAAAGCAACCACATTGCTGCTGCCGTAACACCTACTGCCTCATTCAAACTTGGAGCTGTAGCTAATCCTCAGGCTCTTGGCTGTGCTGCTGCCGATTGACCACCTGCCCTTTCCCCATGTGCAAGCAGCAGAGACAAAGCTGCCTCCTTCATGTGGCTGAAGTTCCATTTGGACTTCCAATCACTATGGCATTCTTAATGGTAACTGGTGGCCATGCTGGCTGGGGATGATGGAAGTTGGGGTTGAACAGTGGGGCTGAACTGAGGTTAGGCACACTGCACGATCTCAACTGAGGTCTTCCGGAAGAAAAGAGCAAACGGGTCACCTAGGGACATCTTACCCAAAGGAGCTGACACTGGCAGAAAGTGGCACGGAGCCCTGTAAACAAAATAGAACCATCAATGACTTTTTAATTCTCTAAAAAAGGCCCCCTCCTTTGCAGGGGTGTCAAACTGGCGGCGCACGGGCTGGATGCATCATGCACAAGCCATGCCCACCGCAGCTTTGTGAATGGGGAAATTATCACGAAACGTCACGTGATGGCAACATGACACTGTGAGTTTGACATCCGTGTTTTAGAGCATTAATAAAGAGTTTGGTTTATTTGCAATGTTTTTAGCATTTTGAATGATGGAGGCAAAAACGGGAGCTGCTCTTTTTCTAAGCATTTTGCAGGTTTAGAGTTCAGAGCTTAGAGAAGTCACTCTTCTAAGGCCCATATCACAATAATGAGGTCTGCCTCACTAGCTCATTTTGGTCCCTAAATGCCCTATGGCAGTCCTGCTAAACAGACTGGCTTATATTAAAGGAGGTCACTGGTGTGCAATTTCATACTTCCCCCTTCAAATATTTAAAAACTATTCCCAGATTATGTTTGTGTCTATTTTAATTCAATGGAATGATCACAAGGTTGTGTTCTTTGAGCCGCTGCCCAAAGAAACTTATGTGACTTCCTGATTATTTTGTTTACTTTTTCGTACAAAATATCTCAGATGTAACCATAGGTTATTATTTTTTTACTTATGTATCATATTTCCATCTCCCTCATAGTTGCATTCTCAACTGTCTGATGCAGGATTCCAACAAGTGCTTCAGGAGTCAGTCATTTGAGGACAGAGGTCAAGTTCAATCACTTACTTTTATCCTGACAAGGATGCCAAGGAAGGTTTGCAGGAGGGTGATGAGAAATTTCCAAGAAACAAGGGTGGGGGGAGGGAAGTGCCTTGCTGTGCATCTTCCTGCTTATGTGAAAAGTGATACATCTGTTTTCCCAAACTAAATGGTGGGCCTACAAAGAGCAACTGAAATCACTGTAGAACAAACTGCCTATACAATCATTACAGTATTTATTTTGTAGTCTATAGCAGAAAATGAGTCCTTTAAAAAGTTTTCAAAACAGTTAAAAGCGTACAAATTCACAAGCTTCAGCACTGATATGAACAGCTAGTCAGCCTACTAAGGAATATTTACCATACAGATTCTGGAGCAGAAAAAAAGCTGCCAAACTGGGAAATGGAATAACACACACACAACACACACACACACACACACACACACACACACACACACACACGGATAATAGAAATGTGTTGAAGTCAAACTTCTTTCTCTTCTTCAGCTGTTTTGTACAAATAAGAGGTGCATACACAACTACAAAACTCTGCCCAACAATTATGCTTTTATATATATGCATATACAGTATATGTATATGTGTGTATGTAAGGGTGTGTATATATACTATAAAATATGCAAACTAAACTTAAAGAAAAGAGAACAGAAAGGAGTAAAAAGTGCAGGAAAAAAGAGAAAGAAGTAAAAGTAAGAATAGGAAAAATATATAAAGAAGTGACTTCGCCCTTATCTCAACTATAAACAAATGTAATGACTCCTCACCCCCTCTAAGGCTACAAACATTTGTCTGCTCATCCCATGTCCCATCTCCTTTTTGTAAACAAATTCATACAACATCATCTTCTCAGACCTGGTATGAGCTGAAAGTGCATAGGGCTGTCAGAGGAAACAACATATCTTGTTTTAATTTTTGATCATATAAACCAACTTTATATTTCTTCTTTTTACTTCTAACAGTCAACTTTGATTCATTCACTATTGTCATAGGATTTGATTTAATTACTTCATTACATGTAACATCACAAATGTTGTGTGATAGCATGTAGAGTCCAGATCAAGAATATATAAACCACTTTTTTGAACCAGCCATTTGACTGTGGACTGTTCAAATACAATCTAATTTTTATCCTGTTTTAGAGTGCTTTTAGCCTATAAATATGTTTGTGTCTGGTTATATATAGATTGTGCTGGTATATTCTTTAATAAGAGATTCACTGTTTTTGTATTATTGCTCATTATTATTATTAAGACTTTATCAGGCTGGGCTTTGGCTGTAATAGCGCTATTTTAATTCAAGAACTCATCCACATATCCTGCTTATTCTGGTGTAAAAATGCCCCAGTATCCTTTTATTGAGAATATGCACAATCTCATCTTCAACCAATCCCAGTCCACAGTGAAGGCACTTTCTGTCCATCTTTTCTTGCTCCAAAGTTTTTCAGCCTCTGCCAGCACAAATTGTCCCAAATAGTCAGTCTATAGTGAATTGTTGTGAAGTAAGCAAGCTGGAGACTCACCCTGCTCTTATTGGTTACTTGAAGCTAAGTGCCAACCCCCAACCCCCAACCCCACCCCTGGTCCATGGCCTCTAGTTTTCAAGGCCATTCACTTTTTGTTAAGGAAAGACTCGGGCTCTTCAAGAAGCCAAAAAGCAATCTCTTTTCTTGACAACCCATTTACGGTAACAAACTTGGGAAGAGAAGGAAAAGGGTTCCTTGGATAGCAGATATTTTGGCATAAGAGGTTGGAGTAGGTTTTAAAACTAATTCTCATCTGAAAATTATTATTTTTAACTAATAGAGCTGCTGCTGCTGAACAGACACTTTCCATTCTTTGTTTATGCCAGAACTAGTTCCAAGAAAAACGTGTTATGTCTTGGAACAGGAACATTGGAGGACATTTAGTTTTAGTGCTTTCCAAGAACAATTCATTCATATTATCTCAGAATGTTATGGGTTTTTTTGTTACCACTCTTGTATGAACATTGTTTTTCAATAACTATTACTAGTATTGCATCCTTAGCTATCTATAAAATATTGCTGGCAAGAGATACACTAGAAGGTAGTATCACCTGTTCTTTTGTGATATGCACATGAAGAAGAGCTTAATTTCCAAAACATAAAAAAGGACTTGTATTTATGAGTGGATTTAACTTAAAACAGAAGCTCCAAAACCCTCTCTTTGAAAGAAATTGCTAGAAAAATGAAGCTACTATATTCTTTCATTCTAAACCAAATGAATTAAAACAATATAAATCCATTTACATCTTTTGAAGATGGACAAAAAAGGAAAACAGAAGATCCACTCATGCATCTCTAATACCCAGATGACTTGAGTACAAGGATGGTGTTAAATTCATCTGTATGATTTCTGAGCTCAAAGATTGGGCAGCCTGGTTGCTGAACAATGGGCAAACACTTTTTTTCTTATCTGTCCATCCTTTTCTAAATCCAATAATATAAGTTTATTTGCAGATGTGTGTATTTCATGTTTTGCAGTATGATCATTTTTGCAAGAAATAAAAATAAGGCAGTTTGATCTCTAGTATAGATAATTCCTTGACTTACTACCACAATTGGGAATTTCCAGTTGCCAAGCATCCAAATGTCGACCACATGACAGTGTGGATGCTATGAAAGTTGTAGGTGCAAGGATTGGTTGTCATTTTTTTCAGTTCCATTGTAACTTCAAACACGGCTAAACAAATGATTGTAAGTTGAGGACTCCCTGTATTGTTGCAAAACAGCTAGGAGTTATACCAGATCACACATAAAACAAAGTATGAAATAGTAGAATTAATCAATTACTACTGAATT